CCGGCTGCACAGAGAGACCAGTGTTATTTCTCCAGCTCAGAGCACGGTTTGTTTTAATGAAAATTAGCTTGTAGCTTGTTGTCTACTTTACTACGGTAGGAGTGAGGCGTTGTTTGTGTCTCGACAACGTTCCTGTTATGACCTATTGAACACAACAAGCTTGAATCTGTGAATATCTTTTAAATAATATCTTTTAGTCTCAAACTTCATCAAATCCTGTAAATGAGGCACATTCCTCAATCTTATCAGCATGCGTGAAAATCCTGCTCTTACCTGAAAAAAACAGGCGTGTTACATTAATGCAAAAAGTCACATTAGAGATGTCTATAGTGCAATAGTTAATTTTAGCATAAGGCTGCAGTATTATCTCTACTGAACTCAGGAGGAGCTGGTCAAACACAAGACAATAACGAGAGGCTGCAAAAACCCCAGTAAAACACACTTAGTGTACATACAGCATTTATACTGCAGCAGAAGCCAGCTCCAGCTGAGCCACAAACCTATAGCAGTGCATTTCAAATTGTTTGCCCAGAGCAAAGTTTTCATGGTTGAGTGTATATTTTAAGAGTGAGGGTATGTCTGCCGGGACAGATGCAGTGTGCAGGAGATTGTTCAGTGAAGAATCGTGTGCAGCCACTGGCTCGGGGTAAATTTAAAGACAGTAAAAGGATAAAGAGATGGAGGAAAGTAAAAAAAATGGTGCTGAAAGAGAAGCAGAGAGAAGTGGCAGAGACTTGTGTGCATAGTTACCTTCTCTTTCATATTCTGTGTGGATGTTTGACGGTGTCTGCTGTCTGTCATGAACATATTCATGTAATGTGGTTGTATAATTTAACTCTCGATATAAAGCAAATTTCTATGATGATGATAACAGGCCTTGTCGGAATGCTATTGAGAATATGTAAAAGTCTCCTGCAAATGTCAATGTGTGTATCCTGCAAACACGATTCATTTTCTATAACAAAACTGAAATCATTTGAGAAACTAAACTGTAACTCTTATTTGTTCATGACAACAGTATTAGCTCTCATGAAGAAACAGACAGATTGTTTTCCAGGGGAAAAGTTTAATCCTTGTCATAGTGAACATGGTCCAGAGCTGCTGCAGTGATCGCAGCTGAGAGATGGCTGCTTTGATTCACAAAAACAAAAAAACACCAGAGATCACAACCATGTTTGGGTCATGTGTTGGACAGACTGCACAGAGGCGACTCAAAACAAGATATTTAAATATAGGCTACTGACTGAAGTCGTCGATTTCGGTTCATCACAGTCACGATGCATCGTTAGCAGCTCACATGATTAAAAGGGGAAACTCACTCAGTTTGAGAGCCAAATACAGTTGTACTGCTTTGGTCTAAAACGATCCAGTCAACACAACAAATAACCAGAGTTGTAAGAAAATTAAGACTAGAGTTGAAGACGCTGAGGAAAAAATAGCACAAGAAAATGAAAGCAGGAAATTGTATTCTCTGAAAAATGCAGTCAGGAAGTTGGAAACAAGGTGTTTTCTTTGCCCAGTTGACATTGTGTAAAAAATACAGACACTAACCCGGCGCCTGGAACCAAAGCAATAACATGTATTGCAATAACACTCGTAACTGAGTGGGATCTCCTCATATTTCTGTGGCAGTGAAAAATAGCAACATATACTTGGGAGATTTTGGGAGCTGGAAAGACTGCATCATTTTTTGTTCAACAAAGGGGTAACTATATTTCCTCTATTTGATGGACATTTATCACAATCATTATGTAACATGTTGCATCAATGTTTGAGTTTAACAAAAAAAAAAAATTGCATGAAATGATCAGATTCTACATGTGAACATCAACATATGTAACAGCAAAATATCCCAAAGCATAAACATATTCAACATGAACATTTGCATACAGCAAATACATTATGAGCCTAGCAGTGATCCTGTGACTTGAATTAAAACCAGCTAAATCTAGATTTGCCACGTTATTGAACATTAACACCAGTATTCAGGTGAGGTCCTGCTTTCTAACTCAATGCATTTGTTCAACACACAATTTAAAGTGCAGAACTGTGATAAACTGTGTGACACAAAGTCAAAACATGTAGTGTTGCATCTATGAAAAAACTCCATCATCAGTGTGAGGCCTGACATGTCCGATTCCCAAGTTGATCTATGATCATTTTAGACGCCCCCCCCCCCATATCTGGAAATTGGAACACCCATATAAAATACATTTAAGAAAAAAAAAAGATACAATCTAAAATACATTTCCAATCACAGTGCAATAAATTATGAGATTAACCAAAACCACTGTCTCCTCAAACTGTGTCTGTTTCACACTGAGCTGAGATCAGTTACGCAACCAGGGACCACTAAGAAAACTGCAGAGGATCTCTTCATTATCCATACCAGTACTGCACTACAACTGTCCTCCAGCAGGTGGCGACATTACATAGTGCCGCATATGAGGACATTAGAAAACAACAACATGGGAAACTGTGGCTGCAGAACAAGGAGGCCCCGTGTCTCTAACCCCTGTGGGTGTGGGAACTAAAACAAATATCACATCGCTTACTCCCACAGAAGTAGCTCTTAATTTATTAATCAATGCATATACAGTTAAGAATTAAGTTAATATGATTAATTCATTAAGACAAACTGGGATAAATATGCTTTGCTGCATTGGTTGATAGGCCACTTGTTTCTCTCTCTACCGTTTTGGGTTTGTTGTTACAGGAGATTTTGATGTTGCAAGTGTGAAGCATGTAAAATGAATCCGATCACATGAACTGTGTTTGATAAGAAAACTGAAATCTTCACATTTTAAATACTGAAAAACTACTGAATCATGAGTCCAACAGTCTCTATCAACATTTCTGAACTGAACTTGTGAAATATTTACAAGATGATATCATTTTTTTGATGTGACTGAACTCGTTTCTTGACACCTCTATCCTACATCTGTGTCCACAGTAGATCAATATTCAATGCAAACACATCAACAACTGAGTGATTTGATGTCCTAGGCTGTAAACAAACGGTCTCCTTTTGTATGGTGACAGGTGTTTTAAAGCAGCGTGTTTGTATTATATTCAATCTTCTTATCTCCAGAACTAAACTGATAGCATTAGGGGTTCTTTTTAAATTACTACAAAGATCTGTCGGGTTTTATTGTGTATTTTTCCTCCTGTCGACAAATTCCATGAAAAGTCCAAAAACCAACAATTAATACGCAAAAATTGTGTGTGACGCCAAAACCTGATGGATGTTATTCAGATGTGTCAGAGCTTCACTGGTGTCCAAAAACTCTTAAAAACACAGCAATGAGCCACACTGTTGCACTGATTTACATATTCCTCCATTACCACGAACACACACACACAATGTAGTCAGCCATACACACAGTCCTGCTACAACAAATACTCATGTGTGGATTAATCTGCAGGTGAGAGCGGTCCCCAAAAAATACACAATTTCCTCCTGTTTGAGTGATACTCGCTCGTTTTGGAAAATTAAGGTCTTCAAGATGAATCAGTTGACTTAGGTTAAAGTTAGTAAGTTGTTGGTTTTGGTCTTTTTCATGGACTTTGTTGACAACAAAAATACAAATATCACCAGCGTTTTCCTTTCAAGCTCCTAGAAGTTCACACTTTTTCCACTTCTGAGGTCAGACTGGGGACATACGATCAAACGCACCAAGCGTTTGTCAGATCGTCCGACATGGTCTCCGATCCCCTTTTCCAATGGCAGAATCCAGGGGACAGTGTTTTTCTAACTTTCTGAAACAGACAATCTTGACACGATCAACCACTTCACAGTGATTGGCCCGGTGTGTGGACTTGTGAAAGTAGGCTCTTCCCCCCCCCCCCTACATCACACAACACAAAAAACAGTGTGATGCAGCCAGGTGGAGGTAATGACAGGTGGCGTCAAAGTGTTGCCATGTAGAACAGGTACAAACACTTGTGTGTGTGTGCTTGTATGAAGACGATCAGATTCGTTTTAAGAAAACAGAGGCATTCAGGATTCAGAGCCGACAACAAACCAGCGCCGCGTTTGGATGACTTTGGTGTCCGAGTTCTTTCCACTGAAGGGTTATGGTGACGAACAGGCTACATGGTGAATTCCTTGAACTACGCTTTGACCGTCTGAACTGAAATCTTTAAACATTGAAGATAACGAGCAGCTACAGCAGCCTCCCGGAAAGTGCAGCAGTCCCATTCGGTGACAGTGTTCTGAGTAGCAGTGACCTCCTCGTACATATCCTCCCGCTGAGAATCACCCCCCCTTGTGGCAACAAGAGATGAAATCTCTGGGTATCCAACTGACAGCGTAAATGCAAAAAAGGAAACTACCTGACAGTTTTCTACTAATTAATGCTACACATGAGGCCCAGAGACACAGCAGCCATAGTTGAGATGTATGCTTCTAAGCCTAAAGCCAAGTGGAGACAGAATGAGAGAGCAGTCGGTATGCAATGTTGTGTCTCCAGGAAACAAAATCGACCTCACACAATAAACAGAAGGTTTTCCGCTCTGCCTTCTGTTTCTTAACTCATTCAGGGCAGTCATCACTAGCCAGAATTTGGGGGAGGGGGGGGGTGGCATTTTTAAGACAGGGGAAGGTGATGGAGGCTCTCACAGTTGGAAAGACCGAGAAAGCCCTCGTCCAGTGACCCGATGCTTTTGAAATTCTTAAACCGCAGAAACGTAAAATAATCCTCCCCAACAGCAAACTCAATCAAGTTTAGTTCCATTTCATTCAAATGTCCCAGAGCGAGAAGCCCGCAGGATGAAACCTGGAGAGGTCACAGGAGAAGGAGCGTCCTCTTCTAACTGGAAGCTTCATGGCTCTCGGTTGACTCTCAGTGCACGTCACGGTGACCACGGTCAATCGAAGACAACCAGAGCTGATCACCTCAGAGTGGGGTCGGGGGTCAACTAGAGTTCAAAAGTTTGTTCCTCCGTCAGCCTCACTCCCCCCCCTCTCCCCCCTCCCTCCCTCCACGTTTTTTCTCATCCTCGTGTGACTGGACAGCATCTCTTTTTGGAGGCACAAGAGTTGGTGAAAAGAGGCATACCATTGCAACGTGATGAGAAGTGAGTGTATGAGTGGATGGGTGGGGGGTTGGTGTTACCATATGTGGGATTCACAATGAGTCATTTTAATGACACCCACCCCTCCACCTAGCCGGCGGTAGTTCATCCCCCCGTACAACCTGGAAAAGAGGGCGAAAGTCAAATGGCAGAACAGAAGAAGAAGAGGAGTAAGAGTGAGACTGTGGAGACTGACTGTTGACGGACAGACAGATAGAGCTGCACTTGTTAAAAAGATTAATTAATTAATATCACTTAATCTAGATAAAGAGTTGCTTTGTCGTGGCTTTTCCTGTAACTTTCTGAATATTTTTGATGCAACAGTTTACTTCTAAATGTGTGTATGTACTCTTTTATTGCAAACACGGGTTTATGATTTTTAATGATGCTAATGAGGCTGCAGTGATGTTTTTTTGCAGCAATATATCCAATATTTGTCCATTCATAGCGATCAATAATGATGCAGTATCAATATGCTTTAGGATTTATCTTGACATTACAGTCTAAGCAAAAAATTCACCAACTAAATGTCTGTAAAAGGGTGTAGCTGTTACTTTGGATAATCTATAGATAATCTGTGAATGTATTTTTATTTTTGAAAGAAATACAAAGTACTTCTTACAAAACCGTTGAGGTTATGCAGGTTATTCAGACGAATGTGGGAGTTGTTTCTAGAAATTGATTCTGCTGCCAAATCTATTCGCCCTAACGCTTAATGTTCGTTTTTCAGACTATTCATAAACTAAACTATTCATGTTTGTGTAGAAGTGCTTTGTGATACAGGAAGTGTCACCGTTTCCCACACTTTCAATATGTCGTCTAACTACAGACTTACTTTGTCTGTTTCTTTTTGTTTAGTTTTTTGTTGGATTTTTACAGACCAGCTAATTGCAACTGATGCAATATGGGAAAAATGCCGACAGGCATCATATAAACTGCAAACTTTTACAATAAATCACATATTATTCTAAGTGTGTAATTAATTTATTATGACTAGAATAATGTTTATATTTAAATATTTGCTTTCTATCCAGATTTACTGGTACTATTTCTATAGTGCCACATACCTCCATGTGTTGGCATCGGGGTCATAGACTTCTATAGTTTTGAGATACGTCGTCCCATCAAAGCCTCCTACTGCCATGAGCTGACCGTTCACCACAGCCAAGCCCACCTGCAGGTACAACTACACTTCAGCCTCAAACACAGGTTAAAGAATTTCCCAGGATCAATGGCAACTGAACCAACACATTTAACCGACTGAATTCAATTCATTCATAAACTATGGATTACATCACAACACCACAAACTCCCAGCACACACTCACCCCGCTCCGTCTGGAAGTCATGGCCACTACAGGAGACCACTGGTTGGTCCGGGGGTTGTATCGCTCTGCACTGCTCAGCTCTGTGGTGTCGTCTCTCCCTCCAACAGAGTAAATCATGTCCTGGTAGACCGCACAGCCCAGGTGCTTCCTCCTGGTCCCCATCGGAGATACAGTGTGCCAGCGGTTCTCTTGGGGGTTGTAGCGTTCCACTAAGGAAAAGAGAAACGTGACATCTCCTTGTTGAAACATGCCAACAGCTTCCTTCTCATTCCTCGCCATCATTATTGTTACAACTGAGTGTTCGTTATTGTATTTTTCTCGTAAATGAGTTCCATACCTGTATTTAATGGTGACGTCCCATCAGACCCTCCCACAGCGTACAGAAATCCCCCCAGCACAGCCACAGCTACCCCCAGTCGCCTGGTGCTCATGGAGGCCACGCGAGTCCATTTGTTTTCCTTAGGATCATATCTGAAGGACAGGAAGGATGATGTCTGATTACACAGAACTATTTTCACATTTGAAGTCATAAATAAAGGAGTTAACACATAATTATTACAAGTATTATATCTGTATGTAACGTTGGTGCAAGTCTGGTGAGTTGAATGGTGAAGCTAAACATGTAGAGCCCAAACGCAAGTGAAGAAATCAGTCTCATGTTTCAACGTTGAAACTGATGAAAGAATTAAAGCTGAGCCAAGTCATCAGCTGACTGATACCTTTCCACAATGTTGAGACAGGAAACTCCATCCTGTCCTCCTACAGCATACAGATAACCACCGAGAACAGCCACGCCCACACTGGTGCGACAAGTGCTCGTGGGAGCCACATCACTGCTCCACTGGTTGGTCTTAGGATCATATCTGGACAACAGGAAAATGCAACAGAGAAAAAGTTAACATTTTACTTTTTAGAAATGTGAGTAATAAAGAACGGAGGGAGTGAAGACGGAAGTAAAAACTCCAGTGATCAGGCCATACCTCTCCACCGAGTTGAGATACGATGAGCCATCGTGACCTCCCACCGCATACAGCAAGTCATCCAGGACACTGACGCCGACTCCACACCGCCGTTTACTCATCGACGCGACCATCCGCCACTCGTTGGTCTGAGGGTCATAACGCTCCACGCTGGAAATGGCATCTCCGCTGCACCAGCCGCCAACTACAGGACAACGAAACATGACTCACTTTTTACACTTTTCCCTCGCACCGGCAGCAGTGTATACATAGTGAAAATGATGAATATTTTTGGGTATTCATTTCAGTGACTGATGGTACCAACCTGCGAAAAGTACCTCCCCACAGCGGATGGGTTTCCTCGGCCTCGTTCTGGGGCCCTGCATCAGCGGCCGCTCCTGTGGCAGCAGCAGGTAATTCTTAGCCTCATCAACCAGGTCTCTGAAACAGCAGAAAAACAAGTATACGATATATATGATGTCAATCATAAATTAAGTTACATATTATCACTGTATCAGCATGTAAAATGAATGTAAAATAAAGGCTGATGTCTCTTCCTTCCTCCTCTAAGGTATTTTTCCAACTAGACCATTCCTTTAAATTTAAAGGATTAAAGTTTAGGAAACCAGAAAATTCGGGGATATATATCTGCACAATCATCAGTTTCCCCCAAAAAAGATTTTTAATGTTTGACAACTTTCATGTGCACAAACGGCACCAACCTGCACTCCTCGTCACTCTTGATGAGAGGATCTGAACCCACAGTGCCCACGAGAAATTTAGGACTGAGCAGCGGCAGACGAACGTGCTGCAGGACCTGTGGAGCAGAAGTGTCCTTTAGCTACAGCAGTAATAATGTTCAGAGTTAAAGCACGGCTTGTACACTGATTACCGTACTTGCTGTGGTAGCTGTAACGGTCGTGTTAGGATGTGTTCTTCAACAACAAACCTGCGGTAGTTGTGGTCTGCGCTCCTGGATGCTGTATTTCACCCACGCCATCACAGCATTAAAAACCTGCTCCTCGCTCCGCACGTTGAGCTCATCGCTGGAAATGATGTCGATCAGCTGATTTGCAGGCAGCAGCATGAACTCCTCACTTTCCATCACCTACAACAGCAGAGTAAAAGAGTTCGTGAGCAGCTCTGCCACAAAGAGAGAAACAGTACATTCAAATTCTCTACAGATAAAATCAGTAAATCAAATTCATAACCATCCAGTGCTGCACTTATGACACAGCATTTATTCCCCTGACACCTGAAAACCAACTACTACAAACCATGTGGTGATAAGTAAAGAAAGCAGAACCTGTGTCACTGTGAATGATATTTCTCTTTGAATCTTTTGACTTAAATGCAAATTTTCACACAACTCCCAAATGTTTAAAATGTACATACATGTCAGGGATGCACTGCACACAACTGACTGATGATTCACAAGAGACTTTTCTAATGGCGGACATCTTGACAAGTAGTGGCAGGAAATACACAGGTGTAATTAAAAACATCAATAATGGTTGCATCTTATATAGTTTGCTGTTATTTTGAATGACGGCTCAGTTGTAGGACTGACTGAAACACAGTTGTTGTTAATGTCATTAGTTCTACGTTTTAAGTTCTACCAGTCAATTTAGTCAATATGTCTGCTGCCTGTCACCAACATTAATAATCAACAATCGATTTTGTAAAACCAGAACAGAGAGTGTCATGATTGAAACTGTCCTCCAGATGTAGCCGTTTGTCTCGATGATAATAGTTGTAAAATGGTGCCAACAGCTGTTTGACTTGTGAGACATCCCAGAAAGTTGCCCATGTTCCAGCCAGACTGAGAGGAACTTTGACTGAATTTATTATTTCAGCTGGCTGGTTTCACAAAGATTGTATTCATTATTTTTTTTGATTTTGACTATGGCCTAGATCTAATAAACAGTCAGACTTCTGACCGCTTCACAATAAAGCTGTTCTCGTCGACCTGTTTTTCTATTGCTGTTGTCAGACAATGGAACAAGTATGAACTAGAGACTGAAACGCAGCCCATTAAGACTACATGGTAACCAGCAGTCACCTCCAAGCCATTTGCAGGACAGTACTGGAAACTAGTAAAGTAGGAAAGTAGCTAAGGTTTGTCCAAAACGTTGCTAGATTTGTCGCTAGTTGCTTTTTTTTTTTTTTTAAAGTTGTTTAAGAGAACTTCAGTCAGTCGGCAACAGACATATACATTTACAGGACTGGCCCCTGCTGTTGCAGTCCAGCTAAAACTATAACTAGCTGCACATGGGAAAATGTTTGTACAAAAATACAAAGTAGAACTGAAACAGAGAGGAGTGTGTCGTCACTTTTTCTTGTTAAAAAATCCGGCTTACATTTATTTTGAAAAGCAACACACTGTGAGGCTCTGAACCTCTTCGAAATGTGATGCTTCCCTCTTCTGTGCTGTGTTAGCACAAGCTTCAAAAGTCACATGCCTCCAAGTGATGTTTATAATCATGAGTCAATACACTGTCTGGACTTTTTCCATGTTTACAAGCCTCAGTGTAACTATACTGTCAAACACACAGAAACACACCAACAACCATATAAGTTACTGTGTGCGCACATCCTGAGGCCTGGAAAAAGTCAACTGTGCAATGATGACAAAACATAGTGTATAAACACCGACACGTTTGATTACACATGCTGTAAGTTTAAGTTTCTTACACGTTTTTTACAAAAAGCATAAAAAGTAAAGATCTGACTCCTAGCTGTAAAATAAAAACCTGTATCGTGTTCTCATTACGGAGCATTTCTAAACTTACCTGCGTCATCTCTGTAGCACAGTGCTACATGTGGCTTTTTTAGAAATTGAAGGGACCGTGTACAGTTCTTCTCATATATCTACATTCTTACCTCCTGAAAATTGTGCTGGGTGAACTTGTCTGCAATGCGGAGCAGCTCGCGGCAGGAGTGCGTGTCAGCGAAGGCCCTGATGCCCAGACAATTGGATGGATCCAGCTGCCTTTTCAGAAACTCACAGCAGGCCTCCTGGATCTCAGCCAGCTGGAGGAGGCAGGCTGCAGGGAGCAGCGTCTGAACGTTCCCCTCCTCTACAGTCACCTGGGAGCAGGGAGGGCAGGACACAACATTCGTCACATATAGTTTACGTTACACCAACAGTTTAAACAAAGGGCAACACTGCAGCAGCTTCTCACTGTCCCCACAGGCCTCTTGATGGCCTCCTCACACTGACACACAGGTGACCTGGAGGGATATGTTGCTGTATCCTTCTCCTAAATGAACTTTTCAATTAATGTACCTTGTTATCTGAAAAGTTCTTTTTCGAGATACTGTATGTTTTCTGATAAGAAACCCAGCAGTTAGACTGTATCGATCACATTTATTTACTTAACCTGAAATCACTTGTTACACCTAACTCGACTACAGAGAAAAAAAAATCTAAATTCTACTAAAACAACTGGCTGTATCAGTGACTGATGATTATGATTTTATTTTATTTAACAGGAATAATGACACAATACGTATCTCCTTTGAAAGGTAACTCTTTACATTTTACAACCAAAACGTCTGAACCAAAGTTAAAGGAACACAAAGATGGCAGGAATCAAAATTTTTGAGCTTTGCCTTTATTGGCATGAAAAAAAGCAAAGACAGAATCAGGAGACTCGGATCTTTCAAACAATCTATAATTTGTCCATGTCGTTTAAAAAGGTTAAAAACAGACATTTACACTACAAAAATATTTGGAAGCCCCATTAACCCCGCTTGCAGCCCTGAGCAATAAATAAAGATATGCTTAAATAAATTCAAACTTTTCATCTTTCTTTCACTGACTTAAAGCAGATTTGAAAAAAAAGCTCCCTCTCGTTAGTATTTGTTCAAATACAAATAGCATTGGCACAAATCACACATCATCAGTCTCTGATGCCAAATATCAATAAAGCACTGTTCTGTGGTACTGCTGTTACCTGTGAGGTGTAGGCAAAGTCAATGAGCAGCTCCATGGCTCTCTCATCGATGTCTCGGATAACGACCTCAGTCTGCCTGCTTTCTGCCAGCTCTCCAGTAAACATGGCCCTGTGCAGACACACAATATCCTTACAGTCAGTCCACCTTGCACTTTGATGTTAATTCATTGGCCAGTGGGTTAATTTCCAGATATATTTATCTTTAACTAACGAATACAATGTGTCTCTGGGTACCTGAAGTAGGGGCTGCAGGCGGACAGGATGACACGATGAGCGTAAATCTTCTTGGCACCCACCACCAGCACCACGTCACAGAGCTCCCGGTGTTTTCTCAACAGGTTGATCACCTCCAGGGTCTGTCGTGGGTGTTTGTCTGAGACGTAGGGCATGCGTGCAGGCTGGGGGACCCCTTCAGGGAGTTTGTTGGGGTCCCCCAGAGTACAGCGGCTGGTGATGTCCATTCCAGTGGCGTCTTGGCGTGCGCTGGTGGCCCTTAACATTAACCAGATGGGCAACAATAAAGTGAGTAAATATATACTCTTTTTGTGTAGTCAGGTGAGTTGGTGCTGTTAGCATTCGTGTTTACTCTTAACGCAGTGGCAACAAAAAGCATGTGAGGAGAGACATGAAAGGAGAAAGGGATGTTTTGTTTGTTGTTGTCTTTAAGTTCAGCTAAACAAAAGAAAACTGTCTCCCAAACTGGATTTTACAACTGGAAAATACAAATGGTTAATTTGTTAGCCAAATCCAAACTGGTATTTTTGACAAGCCTGACTTTGTTGTAAATAGAAAAAACCCCCCCCCCCAAAAAAACATGTGCTATATTCAAATATATACAGTATATCAGAACAAGGTCGAGCAGACTTGACTTTGAAGGACACATGAATCAAGGCAGGTACAAGATTATCCTGGAAGAAAAACGTGCTTCCTCCTGCTCTGACAATGTTCCCCAACTCTGAGGATTGGTTTTTCCAGCAGGACAGTGCTCCATGTTTCACAGCCAGGTCAATCAAGCTGTGGATGGAGGACCACCAGATCAAGACCCTGTCATGGCAAGCCCTATTTCCACACCTGAACCCCTCTGAAAAAATCTGGACTGTGATCGATAGCAATGTCAAGCACGCCCAGAATGAAAGCTGTGGGTGAAATATTGATTTCTAAACTCTTCCCAAGTTAAAACATTAGTATTGTGTTGTTTAAAAATGAAAACTTGCAAATAAATGTTCTGGACCGACACGGCTCAGGCTTTAAAAAGGTGCAAGTCTTTGCTGTTTCACTCCTTCATCGGTTCAGGAGAAGAGGCAGCCATGTGGGCTGATATGGAGAACAGTGTTCAGGGCCTGAAGTATGAGATGAAAGCATAAGAGAGGAAGCATTAGAGCTTGGCCTAAGAGCATCACAAAGCATGTCCAAAGCAGTTCTAATTTTGGGTTGAAGTGGCAGAGAGCAGGGAAGCTTACCCTCATCTTGATGTGAACCTTAAGGCTATACCTCTATTAACAGACGGTCCTTTACTCAACTATACCAGATAGAAAATTTGCACGCAGCTCTCTCAAAACCACTGTAAATTATGCTGTTACATGATATCAACTATGGCAGGTCTAGCACAGTGGGAATTCAAGTTATCAGAACATTATTTTATAAACGTCAGATATATTATTTCGAACATCAACCCTTAATAATATTAAAATGTCAAATACTGCTATTTATATCAAATATGTTTTCCGGGATCTCAGTCACAGTGCATGCAGATTTTGAGGGAAATAGTCTTGGAGTCTCATTTACTAGTTTTTGGATCATCTAAAAAGGAGGTTTGTGTGTTATCACATGTTGTCGTCCTGTTTCACACACCAACATCCTGTGGGTCACTCTCAGTGTGTGGGGCTATCTCTTAGGACCAATGTGTAGGATTTAGTGGCATCTAGTGGTGAGGTTGCAGATTGCAACCAACTGATGACCCTTCCCTCACCCCTCTCTTTCCAAGCGCGTAGGAGAACTTATGGTGGCCTACAGGTAACATCGTAGCGCAAAAGTCCCGCTTCCTATGTAGATAGGAAGTGTTCATTATACACTAATGAAAACATAATTCTGAATATTATAATTAATTTCTGCCAATAGATGCACATTAACCCTACACACGGGTCCTTTAAGGCAGTAAACCCAGAATGTTACATATTCATCTCACAGTAGGGAGCCTGCCAGACCCATACTGGATTAAAGTGAAAATCACACTGTTTTAAATATACAAGAAAGAAGAAGGTAAATAAATGATTAACTTTCGAAATGATCTTAGAATTTTCCAACAAATCACAACATCCATCTCTTTTCTCCAGTAACTTGTCCATTTTCCCTAAAAGTACATCTGGTAATCCATTCAGTGCAGTTTTTATTTTTGAGTTGTGGACCTGGGTTTGGTGGTTCCCATCAATGTGAGGGCACGAGTTTTATTTTTTAACCGAGCCCGTGTTTGTCACACTATAAAAAGAACTGTTTGGATTTCCTGCTCAACATTGTTCGTTTACCTAACTCTCCATCAAAACATCAACCTGTCAGAGGACTGACATTGACCACAGGCTTAAATTAAAAGCCAAAGTGAAGCAATAGAGCTGTGGTCAGATCCACCCAGTCCTCTGGGAGTTGGGAGGTGTGGGGAATTCTTTATACCCCCAATGACTGGTCTTCAAGAGGATCAAGGGGAAACTGTATAGCAGGGAGTTGTCTGACTCACACACAAACTTTTTTGGGTGACGAGAGTCACCGAGTCATGCGGGGTTCACACAAGATCTTTTAATATTTTCTTCTGACTTCCTCTGAACAAATTTCATTACTATAGTGGATATTTGTGGTTGTGGTGACATAAGGGAGGAAGGAAGGAGCACACATTCCTCCATACTTGAAAACCACACCTACCTGCGCATTGGCTTTGCTTCCATGCACTGAAGAACAATGTTTGGTCCAACACCTTGAGGTTAACCTACAAAGCCGACAAAACAAAATCAGACTCTCTGTATAGCCAGTTTAGAAATTGCCTATCAATGCAGCAGTGTTTACCAGAGAGCCTTTTCACAAATTACCATTTGGTCCTTAAAGTTTCTAATGATACCTTATGATTCCTTTTGAAAAACATTCAGCCTGCTGACAAGAAACTATAATATCTTCTTGTGAAGATATTATAGTATCCTGTCCTGCTACCTACTGAATTTGATCTGTAGCTATTTCTCACAAAGATGTCAGATTGATCTGTTTGCTTACACTGAGTCACCAGTTTCTCTATTTTTTTTCAGACACGGCTGTATAATCTACTGCAATAAACCCTGCCTTCATAAAGTTTATAGTGTACGGATTTTACAGTTTTGACAGTGTCAAACAGGTGTTTAATAAACTCTGTGGTCATTTTGTAAATGGGGGTGGATATTGTGTACCACCACAACACCATTACTAACTACAGCCTCAAAAATGACCACAGACCTGTACTTCTCTGTTACAAAACAATAAACAATCAAAAACAATATTCACTACAAGCAAGGTAGTATGTATAAGAAGGCAGTTGTATTGGCCTGCCATACATTTTACAGATACTAATACACTGTTGACTCTGTGCATTTCCTAGTAACACTCAACTGTTAAGTTTGGATAACATGACCCCTCATATTATGTAAAACCCTTCCGCTACATCATCCCCACAGAAACTAATACTTAAATAATTTTCTCATTTGACACTGAAAGCAGTTTGTCCTCAACTAGCTGCTGAACTCTGACTGCTGATTCCCAAGTCCTCAGTTTTCAGATAACATTCAGATAACATTACACATTATTAACCATGTCACAGATCAGGATTAATTAGTGGGAGACCAAGAAGGCAGAGCGGACACTGTTGCACGGGATCAGCTAGACTGCGGCTTACATGTTCATTTAATGTGAACACCAGCTTTGTGTCTAAATATCCTCAGTGTCAGTCACATCACATTATATAATGTTTATACTTAGTCGCACCTTGTGAGTTATTCGTTTCAAGCCAGCTACATTCTTCGCGTGACTAACAAGTGGCTTAGATAGGTAAACTGCTTGTGGTTAGCTATTTCAGTAGATAGCCAGATCCGGATACGCAGTCTGCTAATCAGTTAGCTAATCACATTTCCCGATAGAGGGACAAAAATTTGTTTTCAATGCGGTTGTAGCAGAAATGCTTTAGCTACATAGACGGAACGCGTAGTTGCGAGGCTAAATGTATTTGTACAGACTTGAAAAAATCAACAAGCTAGCTAATATTAAATGCCTGGGAACGCTATGTGCTATCGCTAGCCCCGTGGCAAGGAATCCACTGGCGATTCCGATCACAAAACAAACGCATAACGTTAAAGCGAATCCATTCAACCAAAGAAAACGAGAGTTAGCAACATAACTAGGGCATTCATTTGTTAGCCAAAATGTCCAGGCTAACTGTGGCCGCTTGAAAGTCAATCTGTCTCACAGCATCAGGTCAGAAACCACGGGCTGGATATCATAAACTGTAATGCTAACATTAACTAAGTTAACGTCAGCGCTTTCCGAAACGTCATGTGCTGATATTGTTAGCAGTGACAACTATCTGACAAAAAGTAGACATGGTCAAGACGGTGTTTACCTTATATTTCCATCCTACCGACACACAGAAGTAGCCCAGGCTGCTAATGTTTACACTTTTATGCCGTCGGTTAAACACTGGTGCTTTTCTTCCTCGATAACATGCGCATGCCAAATGCCAAACGCCATATCCGGACAGAGTGTTTTCAAAATAAAAGGCATATGATTACGTCATCGCATAATACATTGTGCAGACCACAGACGAGAATATAAAAATGCCAAATTTGCACAAATCCACAATTAATAAAATAATTCAAACAATACCAAGGTCATTTCCACAGTTTATATTTACACCAAGAATGGCAGGATATTCAAATAATATAAGTAGATAAATATGCACGCGTGATTTGATACGCATGACATGCCAGTATAAAAAAACCCAGTATGTTTATTTACCTGCCTAAAATCAAAAGCAGGGGGGCGGCTTGTGGGGCTCTTTCCAAAAAGCCCCGAATCTTAGATGAAGTTTAGTGTAACATTATTTACATTTTTAACTTCAACTTGGTGTCATTCCCTCTCACCCTCTCTGACTGACGCGGCAAATGAATTGAGTTCTATTAGTACTGTACGAGGGAAATAGCCATTAATATTGTTATTTCTGGTGTAATATATTTACCATTGAGTTTATTGTAATCATTCAGTCCATTTGCCGTTTACAGCATAATTTGTATTTTCTACATGTAGCCTATACTCAGTTGGCAGTCACCTTCATTTGTCCTGTACAGTCACTGGAACAGCCAACTCATCTCTTACAGGTGGTAATAGTAAGGAATATGTTATAATCAAGTGGCAAACTGCCCATTAGTTTGTGACCTACCGTTTTGAAGCCTCGAGTTTGGCTTAATGGACGTCACCATCTTGGTTTTTTGGAGCTAGAAGAAACCATATTTGGATGAGAAGGTGGAGCTGGGGAGGAATGAGGGGTGGATCTGACCTGTGTCCCTGTTTTTTACATTGTATTATTCTGCAATCTTATAAATTGTTAAATTCATTCATCAATGAACAATGCCAGCACGCTACCTGCTAATGGGGGTAGGCTCTATAAACGTGCACACATACATTGCTGCCACTATCAACATTATCATTTATTACAATTATTATGATATATCATTGTTAGCATTATAATTGTTATCAATGTCATTAATACCTGCAATTATTATTACTATTATTGTCATTGCTATTGTACACAATCAACTTTCACACACAAAATATCACTATATATATATATACAGTATATACACACACACTTTGTCACTTGTCTATTGTACTTCACAATGTCTTGTTTGTCCATTTTTTCCAGCAATAAAGGAAAAGAAAATGCTAATGCCAATGCTAGCTAGCCCCCCCACTTGTTAATTTGTAATCATCTTGTCACCTTCTGTATATCCTAGTTTTTTCACCAAAAAAAGCTAATGTTAGCAGCTAATGCTACTGCTAAGTGCTAATGCTAGCAAGCTAGCCCCCTTCCCTTTTTTAATTTGCAATCATCTTCCTAGTTTTATTCACCAGAAATATATAAATATTTTTTAAATGCTAACGGGAATAGCGGCTAGCTATTGTGCTGGCCTTGCACCCAGCAAGCAGAGCTAGCAGCCCCCGACTTAGCCCCCCCAGGTTCAAATTTATAAGCTCAAAATCATTTTGAGCTTATAAAGTAATGTTTACAAATTATTCCAATATTTGTAGTTTTAAATCAAACTTTGTAAACTTGTAAAATAAATCTGCATGAGAAGTTCAAGTTTGTGTATCTGGAAACAATTGTGCTTGTGGCAAAGAGATGTGTATTTGTTAAAACGTTTGAATCAAAACTGAACAAAGGATCAGTGGTGAGGTTAAACAGACAGGGAAAGAAGAAATACTTTTGTGGATGTCTGTGTACAGAGTTAAAGAGCAGAAAACTGTAAAACTCAGTGTGCAACATTCCCAGTGTGAGACACTGACAAATACAAATTTTCATCCTTGTCACTTCAGTGTCACACACTGTGGGAACTTTTAACCAGAGTTTTACAAATTTCTGCTCTGTATCATGACACAGATGTTGACAAATCCATTTCTTCTTTTACAGTGTCTTTGTTCAACCTCAACACTGATCGTTTGTTCAGTTTTGATTCAGACTTTAAACAAATACTAATCTCTTTGACACAAGCGCAACTGTTTCACATACGCAAACTTGAATTTCTGAAGCACATTTATCTTACAGGTTTACTAAGGTTGATTTAAAACTACAAACATTGGAATTATTTGTGAACATCACTTTACAAGCTCAAAATCATTTTGACCCTATTTTGAGCCTAGATACAGGTATAGATACAGCCAACAACAGTTCACAATAAGTTCCTTAACAACAAATCAGACACAGCAAGTTTCCAAACAAGTATTTTAATTGTAATATTAAAGCCAAATATATTAATGATCACATCCACATTGTTTTCTGATGCATTCGATATGACGACAACTTAAATGTAATAAACAGAATATCATTTTAACTCATCTTAAACGTTAGACAATGATCTGTGTGGAAATGCAATTACACAAACTTCTTTTAACAGACATTAACAATAGTTTTAATTCATTTTTGTAGAGATTTTGTTGATTTACAACTACAAACATTGGAATTATTTATTATCAATTTACAAGCTCAGTCATTTTGACCCTATATACACATATGGGGTGGAGTCATGCGCATGACTTACCGTTTCCGGAAGGTGTGGTTCTGGCCCGAGGTGGATTCTGCCATCCCTATGAAAACACAAAAGGAAAAATAAGGACATGTCAAGCAGCTCCTCTTTTGACTGAAATGTTTGAGGCAGTCTAAGGACAGAACATAAAAGATGTATCAATCATGCACTTAAACCTCATTTAGCATATACTGTAATAAAAACAAGACTATGAATAAATCTGAACAAATGATACATGTGAAGAATTTGTAGAAGAGATTAAAACAAACACATTAGTGGTGAGGCAACACAAAGACACTGGAAGATTCAGAGCTTCTGTCAACATCTGTGTACACATGCAAATCACAAAACTGTAAAACTTGGTGCTCAAAATTCCTGCAAGTGTGTGACACTGAGGTTACAAGTAGAATTTAAATTCATGTGTGAAAATAGGATCTGAATTCTACTTGTAACCTCCATGCACTTGCAAATTTATGAAGGCAAGGGCATACTGCAGGACACATGGGTCCTTGGCAGGCTATAGCAGCATGAGGAAGGGATGATGATGACGACATCACAAAGGCAGTCAGAAAATAAAGTTTATTGCTAGGTAGGTTTTCACTTACAAGATATTTGGCTTGGTGTAAAACATACTTTTTTGTAAAAAATTGATGATTCTTGTGTGTCCCTCATTTTGATTTACCACCCTGTCAAACTAACATGTTTTGTTGCTTTTAACCAACATCACAAAGAGGAAGTGACATTATTTGAGGCTTTGGAGCAGCCAGCAACAAAAGCAGGCGAGTTCTGACCAGCACATAGAAAATGTCAGGTGGACTCTGGTCAATGTGTAGAAACATTTCAAAGATGATCAAGATACATGGAGGAACCTGAGCTAAAGATCAAGCGTCATAGCAAAGAGTCTGAATATTTATGTTGATGTGATATTTCAGTTTTTCATGTTTAATACTTCTGCAAAAAATTCTGTTTTCACTTTGTCATTACAGTGTAGTGAGTGTAGATTCTTGAGGTGAAAAGGATTTTTTAAATTTTGGCATAACCTTGCAACATAACAAAAATGTGAAAAAAAATGGAAGGGGTCTGAATAATTTTGTATGTTGCACAGATTGTAAAGCCCCTTTAGGCAAATCTGTTATTTGGGTTGTTGAGCTACATGAATAAAATTTTACCTGTGGATGTGTTTAATCTAAAGTCTTAGAGGAGAATACAGGAGGACAGCCATATTTGGAGTTTAATATATTAATAATGCATTGTACATATTTCTCTTGTCAATGAGACAGAAAGGAACAGGAGATTTTTATCCAAGAATGTACCATCTCCAGTGGCTTTAATACACAGTATAACCCAATCCTGAATCTTCTAGTAGTCTTCACACACAGAAACCGTCTAATTCTGACAGAACTGACATTTACTCAGTTACATCAAAAAAAACAAAAAAAAAACTTTTACATAATTTTCCAACAAAGTGTCTCATCTTATACTTTCCAAATAAATTAAAGAAATTCATGACATACATATTAATTTCATCAATATTATACTTGACATTTTCAACTGTGAATCCCTGTACGTGTGAATTAAATTAATTCAGTGACTTCAGTCACACATTTATTTTTTAAAGTGTCCGCTCACATATTAGGCAGTGAAAATTAAATTGTTTGATTACTCTTCATTTGCTTGACAGTTAATGAATTAAACTCATCAAATCTTGCGGGAGCCTTTTTTTTTTTTTTTTTTAAATTATATAGTAACGATTTGCTCTTCATCATCCTCCTCAGTTGTCAGAGTTGGGCTGTGGCTCAGGCCTCAGGCATGGCTGACTGGCAGCTGTGTCAGTGAATGGGATATGAGTGGCTGAAGCAAAAGTGGGTCTGGAGTTTGGACTGGGAAAGAAAAAAAGAAAAAGAAAGCTTATAAATAAACCACAAAGATCATTAAAATCAAATCAATTAAAATTATTATGTAGTATTATACATGTACATATAGCTACTGTAACAACTGCAACATGCTCTACCACAAACTGCCAGGTTTGGATTTCAATAAACACTGATTTATTTATTGTAGTGAAAATGTGATTCCCTCAGGTTTGGGCCTAGCATTGATTTTATGTGGCAGCCATACAAACGCTCTGTATTTAATCGTTTTGATTGTCAGCATAGTGAGATGTGAATGTGTTTCTTACCGTCCATATAGGTCAGTGTAGTGAGGAGTGGTGTGTCTGGGGCCATAAAGGTTGTGTAATGCAGATCCTCCATTAAAGGTGGTGTCATCATGGTGGAGGAAACAGAATTTGGGCTGATGTGTTTCTTTTGACGAGCACGGCAGTTCTGAAACCAAACCTGCAGGAGGTAGAACGAATTGATGGCCGGACATTAACGTGATATTCTCTACTTTCAGGTGCTGATGTGTCACCTGATGCTTAAACAACACGTCACTTCTCCTTTTCAGACACAGAAATATGAAACTAAGCAAAGATTTGCGCATGAAACGTTTCCCCATAGTCAGGGAAATCAGAATTCTCTCAGTTCATTATGATGCATGTGAACACATTACAGTTACTCAAATTTACAAACATTTGACCATTTCTGAGAATCATGGTCATAGAAATTGCTTCAAATGTTCAAGTTCTTGCAAATAATGCAGCTGTTTGTTCATTTATATTCACTATACAATCAGGAGAGTAGAGATGCCAGTCATGTAAGTGTCCTTTTAGGCAGATCTCAAATGACTAAGAACATTTCTATTTTCAGTGCACTGACAGGCAAAATATAAGTGGCTAATCCTATACACAGGACTACAGGACAGGACTTTACTTGGAATAATACAGCTGCACCATAGAAAGCTATCATTTTTTCTCTGTTGAGAGAATTTATCCTGACTGCCCAAGTCAATCATGATTTTTGAAAAAACCAGAGCTTCTCTCCTAGAAGTAGTAACAGTTGCTTCACCTGAATGACCCTGCGGCTCAGACCAGTCCTCTCTGCCAGTCTCTGGAGAGTCTGAGCATCTGGGTTGTTATCTTTAGCAAACTGAGTTTGCATTACCTGCAGGTGTAGAAATGACAGAGGGGAACATGATTATTTGATTGACATTTTAGTCAAAGCTTGATTGTGTAAAAGTTTAGAAGAGATCACGGCACCTGAAGTGCTCACTCTGGTTTCAAATACAGTGCATTATCTGCCACCACCACTAGAGGGCGGAAAAACAAAACAAGCTGACTAAATATCACCAGGTATACATTTGTTATGGCTAACACATTCAGCACTCATAGAGCAACATTAACATTCACATTCACTCTCATTTTAACTCAGTTTTGGACTCTACTAACTCTTTCAAATTTACCTGGGTCTTTAGCTTGATGAAATATATTGAAATGAGATGTACACATGTAGTTCAACTATTACTTTAGTAGGAAACACACATACTAGCTCAACAGTAGTGCTGAGCATTTCCTCAGGGAAAAGATTATAGGTAATTTGTCCTATCACTTTATCTCTCATGCAGGTGGCAGGCGGGAAAGGGAAAATGGCCGTATAATCACAGCAGCAGTGACACCCACACACAGGGAAACACCAACACACACAGTAGGTGGTAATACCTGTAACTGGTCTACAGTGAAGCTGGTCCTGGCCCTCTTAGCAGGTCTAGGCATGGAGCCAGAGTCATCTTTGTCCGTCGCCTCGTCCTCTACTTTGGGTTGCTCTTTAATACAAGACACAGGACACGTTACAAGGACTGTCTGACATTTTAAAATATGGGCCCTGTTCCAGATCAGAGATTTGACTGTCTCACTACAAAAAGAAAACGAATTCTTACTATAGTGTAATGTTTCACGACTAATTTACTGACTTTGTTTCCACTCAACCTGACCCTTTGTTATCCATCCCCATCCATACACTCACCATTTTCCTTAGTGCGTTTGATATTCTCCATCATAATATCATAGTGTGGCCGGCAGAAGACCCTGTTCTCCAGCAGTCCACACTCCTCCCCGGTGGACAGCTGGCGCTTACAGGAGGTGCAGGAGAAACAGGCCAGGTGGAAGGTGCTGCCTCGAGCCCTTCTCACCCAGTCACTAGAGTGGATGTTGCGGCCACAGCGAGCACAGCGGGTCCCATACCTCCTGAAGAAACATGAGAAACAGGAGGAGAGGTGAGGTGTGGGGAGGAGTAGTAATCCTGCATTCAATTAACAGATTCCCCTATCAGCAAATTATGTGTTGTAGGAATTCAAATTAGCTATGCCAACTTTTGCGTTGTATTTTTTTTTTTTTCCTCGTACTCAAACATCAGATCACATGAAATGCATATTTTCAGATGGACCATGTGGCACCATATCACCATTATTCTCCTTAATTGGGTCTTATGTAAAGTTTAGTTCAGGAAACAACAAACAAAATTCCTCCAGACCACTGTTATAAAACAAGAAAACTGATATGAAAAGGTAGATTTTATTTATTTTTGTAAAGGACGGTCTATGGGGATAAAAATTTACCTGAAGTAGTCGAGTTTGCAGAACACCTGTTTATCTTTGATGTAGCAGGTCACGTGTCGCCCCAGTGATGTCTTACACACACTGCATGAGAGGCAGCGCACATGCCAGCACAAGTTGTTCACCTGAGGCAGTAAAGAGATTTAATTTGAACAAAAACCTTAGTAGCCTTAGTATATTTAATACCATCCTTATAACTGAATGAATATTACTGCAATGCATTTATTTATTCAACATAATGTTCTCATGAGTGATTTATACCACGATTAATCTGAAGGGTATTTGGTTTGCAACCAGAGATAAAAACATTTTCCATCTGAGGGGAAAAAAATAAAAATCTGTGCAGTCTTATCATTGTCCAACAATAACCAAAAATTACTCCAGTGCAGATTTAAAATTTCATTTAACAACCTAACGTCCCAAACCTACATTTATCTTAAATTACATTACTTTTATTTTCATTTAAGTAGAAATAAAAAAATCTTAAATCAAGGTGGAATAATTCGCCTATATTCCCCCCCAAGTTAGGAACCAGTTGAAACGTGTCTATATCTAAATAAATCGATAACAAATAAAGACAGTTGACACCTGAGTCAGGACAACAAAAGCTGGAAACATTAATGGTCCTTTAGGGACTTTGTTTTCTCATAATTAGCTGCGACTAAAGAGGACCTGTTTTTCGCTGTGTTTGCAGCGACATCAGTATCAGTCTGACCTTGAGCAGGTATCGGTCCAGTATCTCCAGGCCGCAGGAGGTGCACAGGGTTTGCGCCTGCAGGGAGGGCACAGTGTGGACGGAGGAGGACGACGACGAGGAGAGGGAGGACGGAGAATAGGAGTCCTCCTCGAAAATATCATCAGGCCCGGAGGAAACCTGTCAGAGGGAGGGGAAAAAACAAACAAACAAAAAAAAACACCATGTAACAACAGCTTACAAAACTTTTGCAGACTTTTATTTTTATGTCTTAAAACGCTTATATCACAAAATGTAAAACGTAGTTTTGGGGTCAGGTGAATGAAAAGCAAAGCAACGATTTTTTTTTAAATAAATAAAATTGTTTTCAAACTAGTTCACCATGTTGATATTAGACTGGGAAGACTTTGCTATAAACGCGTTCTTTTGATTTATTTGGCGGCACTTTGAAGCGAGCAAACAGTCCCGCAAGCTACAATTCAAAGACTAAACTCTCCACACTTTACCTCACGACCGTGTACAGAAAAAAAAGTAGTTAATTTGATATGAAAACACCTACTGTGTCGATATAAATATTTCCTCCTTGTAGCTCAGTGACAACAGCCTCCGGAAGTCGCCTCTCTCCGTCCGACATGCTCAGGAGTCAGGTACGACACAACTATGACCAAGTAGGAGTAATGTCCCTTTCATCTCCATGACAACCACAGAGATCAGCCCATTCCTAAATACATGTCACCTCGGGGAAACCTAATATCGGCTAACTGTATTTTGTATTATTTTTACACGATTAAAAATAATAATAATAATAACATTTTCTCCCGGTGTTCAATTAGCAAATCCTACGTGGGGGGCGTCAGGAGACTGGAGAGTCCGGGGCACGTGCTCACAGGTGAACGTGATTATGACTAATTGTGTTCACAGCCGCGCAGGTGCACATGATTACTAATAATTACATGATCACCACTATTTATTTCAGTGAAGCCTCCAGGTATGTTTTGCTACATTAAGAAAAACTGTGGTCCTGAATTTGACCATTTATTGTTGCTGTTCCAACACTGTAGAAATATGCAGAGGCCTTAATATAAATGATGGGGCTATTTTTGTGTAGTAATGAACTAAAATCGAAAAAAAAATAACAATAAACAATAAAAGCACGTATTTAAATAAAATCAAATTTCAAATTGCTTCATCCTTGACACTTTTCTCGTGATATATTTCCCGAGAGAAACTAGTCCACATGAAAAGGTGATTTTTATGGCAGACAATGACATCTGTGGATGATGAATATTTATGCAGGTACAGCCTTCCACGCTGTTTGTAGCTATTCATCTCTCAATAAAATAAAATAAAAAGAGAGAATAAAATAAATCCTGTAAGCATTGTCCCTGTGTTCCTGATATTACTTGTATAAGCTTTTGTAATATGACCTCCAAATAAATGAAATTGAAAAAAATAGACTGCTTTCTAAGTAGGCTACAATAATAGTAATTGTGGCTTATATAGGCTAATATATGCGGCAATATTAACAGCAGAACTTAACACTTAAGACTTTCACCTCTTTTTAGCAGCTTAAAATAATGTAGTAATGTAATTGTAGTAAAACTGATTATATTAGAAGAGGTCTGATTTCCTAAATGTAAGACAGATAAAACAGTAGCCTGATAGTAATAGTGTAATGATTATATGAAAGTAAACCTGTGTTTTGCGCAGGTCCATCTAAACGAATAAGATTATTGTGCAATAAAATGAGAATGAAATAAAGGGGTTTTCCAAAACTGTAAAATTAATCTAGAGTATGTCTCCTTCTTAAATAAATTCATCAATGAAACCAACGGATTTTAGTGAACTATTGTTGAAGTTGTAACTCTTTTTTAAAGTCGTGCTATTCGTGTACTCACCAAGCTGCTGGAAACAGAGTTAAACATGTTCACGGAGCATCTGCAGCCTCCTCCAGGTCATTCCTCCTCAGCCAGATGTTTGTATTCCACAGCAGCAGAGCGGGAGCTCTCTCGAATTCACCCCGTTATTAGTCCACTGTACTCCGGCCTGTCCACCGCTCCAGCCTCGCCTCTTGCTCCTCTGAAGACTTGTTCACTCGCCACTTCTTAAGAGCCGCGACCTTTCCATTTAAGCAGCCCCGCGTGCACCTCCCACTCTCACGGCCTGGACCCGCCCGCTGCAGCATCACTCAGCACTTTGGACTTGTATTGTGAGGATCAGAGCTTCCGTTTTTCTTTCTGGGACAAATATAGCATATAGATATTAATGGATAGAGCTAATTATTCAAATCAGTACAGCATTTAGATTATTGAAAAAAAAACTGTGTTTATATTTGTGTAAATATTATTATATCCTCCACCTACTATGACTGCAGCACAAATCTTAAAAACTCAACTTTCCAAAGTGCTTTTCCTGTGAGAGGCTGTTAGATTCACTTTTACTACATCATCAGTATTTCTTATGTATTTCCCTGTGTTGCCATGGGGGACATTATGAACACAGCGCAGGTCTTTGGGGAATGATTTCTATTTGTTTAGACATCCACACCGTCTGACCAGCAGCACCTTCGGGGGCAACCCACCAGCAGCGAAACCTGTTGATGTAATTCCTCATACCTGGAGTAAATTTGGACAACACAGTTTCATGGATTAAATGACCTGAGACGGAGTGAAAATCTGTTTTTTTGACGTGCACAAAAGATCTGTTTTTCCACACACTGTCAACACTTATGTTGGTAAAGTTAATGTCTGATGAAGGAAATGCTGACAGTGTGCAGGAGTAGATATTTCAACTGTTCCTTCGTTGAATTCCTGTAATGTATTGTACATTTTACATAATGCCCATGATTTAAGACTTTCTGCTTTGAGGAACCGTTTTCCTCTGGATGCAGAGGGTCTGGCAGATCTCCCCTCTTCAGAAAAGAGAGAGTGCTGTGTCAAACTTTAAGTGAACATGATGGCCAACCAAAGGCGTGAATGAAAACCACTTTGTGAATGGCAAGCAAAGAGACTGGGTCAAGAATTCCTCTGGGTCTTATATGTCTGCAATCTAATACCTCAGCTCCCCAGCCGTCCAAACTGGGTCTTTATGTGAAACTGAATATCTTGTGTGGCACAGAGTGTATTTATCCTCTAAGAGAAAAGTGTTTAACAGGCTTTAAAAACTCATCTTAAAACTGAAAGAATGAACAGCATAAAAATGATCTAATTTATAAATTGAGCTGCAAAACAAATCCTGACCTTACAAGACTTGATTTGTAATTAATATTATTTATTTAATTGCTATTTTTAAATTAAACATCTAGCTACTATAGTTAACAGTAAGTGGGTTGTCAAATCTCACATTATCTCCACTGGGTAAAACATTACAATTTTTAAGATGCAAGATGTAAGATAAGCTCACAAAATATGCATTTCTATTTTGCAGGGCTTTTAATCAGCAAATTTCTCTGTGTACTGTAACTCTGAAGGAGTTAAGGATGCAGTACATGCTTTGTTTTTTTTGCTTGACATAAATGTCTAGAATGTCGTTTAGGACGTATGCAGCCTTTCTGTGCTGAGGGTGGCACAGCAGTTATCATTGTCACAGCAGGAAAGAATCCTGTGTTCATATCAGCCCTGATTAACTGAATGTGAAGTCTGACTTTTCTGCTCTTGTGTCTTTTGTGCAGCACTTTCATCATTTTCAATGCTAATTACCCAGTTTTTCTTCTATTCACTCTGCGTAAACCTGGTGTACCCCACCTGTGTCGTCATGGTGACAATAATAAATACACAGTTAAGATTGTGGAAGGGTCACAGTTTGGTTTAGGCACAAAAAAGTACTTGGTTAAGTTTAAGTGAGTACTTCTTTCAGGGTAGATGACCTTCGTCGTCATGGTTACGATAACAAACACACAGTTAAGTTGTGGAACGATCGGGGATAAAAGAAATAACGTTGATTAGCAGTTTCTCATGGGAACCAAACATCAGCTTTCTAATGTGAAAGTCCTGTGTTTTGTGGACCCACCCATCCATCCACCCCACCCTCCTCCTCCCAACGTCACCTGATTTCCTCCTTTGCTCCTGATGTAACGACTGCGGTTGCTATAGCAACGTTGCCAAGAAAAAAACGTTTGCTTGTCAACATCTGTTGACTGCAAAATTTGTTTAGGCAATGACAACAATATGAATCTTTCATTTGTGGCCCTGGTCCTGTAGAGGTTTGTTTTAAAACCTTAATTATCAACTATAAATTAATCAGCAATTATTTTCAATTGTTAACAATTAATTGTTGCATATAATAATCTTGTAGAAAAAGAATATCCAGCACACAGCTCTAGCTCAGCATCACAATTTATTAATCATCCTAACGTTTCGGTCTCTCTCGACCTTTGTTATTTCCTCTGACAGAAACATTAAGACGATTAATAAATTGTGATGCTGAGGATACAGGTACAGCACACCTGTACCTGAGACATGTGGACAACTGAAGTTTGCATATATTAAAAAAAAAAAAAAAGCCCATTGCAATTTCCCAAAGCCCAATATAACATAAATAAATGACTTATTGTCTGTCCATCAGTCTAAATCCCAAGGAGTTTACAATCATAAAAAAACTAAAACAAACCAACAAAACAAAAACTTGCAATCTGCAATTACTCTCATTTGTAAAGCTGGAACCAGTGAATGGGAGCAATTTTACTTTTACTTGTTGGTTCATGAGCCCAAAAATGTTTGTCCACAGGCCCCAGAGCAGGTTAATCAAGCCGAGCGTGTGGCAGACATCTCCACTCCACTTCCTCCTAATCCAGGCTCTTCACAGTGTTTGAGGATTTAGGACAATTCTCCTTACAGACAGCATCTGCGGATCCATTCACATGAACAGGAGGGGTGGGGCGGAGGCAGCTGCCAAGAACCAAGAACTGAAGCTAAAAGTACACTTTGCCTTTTGTTTAGACTTATTGTTCCCTTCAGACAGTTGTCACAGTGCAGTTTCTGGTTTATAATCCTGTTTGTGCTAACAGTGCTACGGCTAATAGATACACGGATGCTAAAATTATAAATCAACCTCCTATTATGGTCTAAAAGTGTTTTACTTTGTCTGGCACAACTGCAGGAGACTGGGGAAATTGTGCGTCTGCCTTAATTCCCATTTGTTTAAAAATGTCCAGGAGTTAAGACGGTCTGAGAGCTCACTGCGGACACCTGCTCCTTTATGAGAACGACTGAGTAATTTAGCTGTCAACCTGTTAGTGTGAGCACTGCTCAAACAATCAGTCACAAGACAACAGGATTAGACGAGGCCAGCACTGATCAGATGGAATAAGAATATATATATTTTTAAGCCTCCAACATGTAATAATAATACGACACTGATGCGATTATTGGTGGTAATATCTCATCAAATAATATAAAAAGTGCATCTTTCTACCTTGAGAACTGCGCAGTGGTTAACGTTTATCTTTGTGGCGTCAGGGTTCGTGAGCAGTGGCGGTGTTTGTTAGTGGGCTTGGTTTCCCTCCTCAGGCAAAAACAATCTCAGCATCCTAAAAACACACAGTTGTTTGTGGTGGAAAGCAGGAGTTGCTTTTGGTTTGGCCGTGATACGCCACGGCTTATCTCACTGTTTCAAAGTGTCAGGGTATGTCTGTCACCATACACGCATCAGTTTGTGTGTGTGTTTGGATGGGACTGTGTGTGCAGTGTCTGAGGATGAGAGAGGAAGACCACCTTCCTTACCAACAGCGTGTGTATACTGTAAATACATTATTCATTGCAATTCATTTTAAGAGTCACTGTTCATTTCTTATATAAGCTATTTACTGATTAGCATGTTACAAAGGACGAGAGTATAGCATAGACATCAGTGTAGGATCAGGATCAATATTAATATGAATATATGAAAGATCAGAAGAAGACGTGATGCCAGACGTCACAGAAGATGGAGTAGAACTAGTGCAGGGTGCACGGTTGCCTGGAGGTTGCGGCCTATCCCAGCTGACATTGAGGAGCAAGAGGCGGAGCAGGCCGTCGACCCACGGAGACGTCGCCGGTCTATCGTGGGGCTGGCACAGGACATACTCACACTTACATTCACCTATGGGCAATTTACTCACGTACATTTCCATTTTATTCTACTCTATAATTCTACTCCACTACATAAATAATTGTACTTCTTACCCAACTACATTTGCAGATGTAGTGATGGTTGTCCTTCTGGAAGTTTCTCCCGTCTCCACACAGGATCTCTGGGGCTCAGCCAGTGAGCATCGGGTTCTTGATCACCTCTCTTACCGAGACCTTTCTCCCTTCATTACTCAGTTTGGCCTGGGCGCCAAATTCTGGCCACTGTGCTCTTGGGGAAGCTTCAATGCAGCAGAAATGTTTTTGTAGCCTTCCTCAGATCTGTGCTTCGACACAATCCTGAAACAATTTAAGCATAAGGCTGCAGCATAACAAAATGTGAAAAAAGTGAAGGGGTCTCAATTTTTTCTGAGTTTTTTTTTTATTTTTTATGTTCCAAACATCATCAGACAAAACACTCTTTTGTTCGAGTTAAACTCCACGCCAGAGAGTTTTTGTCAACTCTCTTTCCAAAAAAAAGTCTTGAGTCCTCACTGCGGCGCTGAGTGCTGAAGCTTCAAAGCTCTGTCTGTCAGTTGGTTGACTAACACAGCTAAAACACAATTTCCAAACTCACTGAAAGCCTGTTGTTGGTGTTGACAGACCACTTTCATGCCATTCCTGTATTCCTGTACTGGCGCACATACACACACACACACACACATACAGTATGTTGCAATAAATAAATAAATCTGAGGGCTAAGGGCAAAAATTCCTCTAAATGTCTGTGTTGACCAGCATGTCAAACAATCTTTGCTTATGTTGTCTCCATCTGGGTATTAGAAATGTGTGTAGGATGTATTTTACCTTGTCATTTGGCTATAAATGTACCTTAATTTATACTTTTCTGAATCAGGTATCTACTGCTTGGCCTTAGTCCTTTAAATATGGCTCTCTAGATAAGTGAGTCCCAACCTTCTGACACAGG